CCTTCCCACAGCGGATTCGGGTCCCTCAGGGTGCTGAACGAGGACCGTGTACTGCCAGGAACGGGGTTCGGCACGCACCCGCATTCTGAGTTCGAGATTTTCAGTTATGTCGTCTCGGGCGAACTGGAACAGTGAGTCTCTCATATACGTGTGCTGAACTATACACTGACACATGGTAGTCGGGATTCGATGAGAAATGTCGAAGTACTCAAGAGGGGCGACGTCCAGCTCACTTCCGCTGGTACCGGTATCCGACACAGCGAGAAGACCTTTGGCGCTTCACCAGTTCACTTCCTCCAGATCTGGGCCAAGCCCCGTGTCTCCCGCTTGGTCCCAAAGTACTTCACCCGTCACTTCTCAGACGAGGAGAAGACGGATAAGTGGGTGAAGGTCGTCGCCCCTGTTGAGGCTGAGGGAGTGCTGGACAAGAGGGAAGGGGATGGGCCTGCCCCGGTACAGAGCGGGGTGACGATGTACGCTACTCTTCTCTCTGAGGGAAACAGCCTTGCGCATCGGCTTCCACTCGACGGGCAGGGCAAGACGAGAAAGGTTTACGTGCATGTCGTCCAGACTAGCGGGTATAACGATGGATCCTCTAGCGGAGCACGCGTGAAGCTGAGCGGGGAAGGCAAGGAACTCGAGCTGAGGGAGGGCGATGGAGCTTATATCGCTGGATTACCTGAGCGCGAGCTGATCCTGGAGAACGTCGGCGAGGGGAGGGCAGAGATCGTTTTGTTTGATACTGAGTAGATGTGTTGTTTGCGGTTCTATTCCCGGACGGCGCCTTTGTATGATACGTTAAGACGACTTGTACTTCTTTCTTGTTCTTCTGTTATCAGACCTGTTGACCAAGTCTCTTGGAGGACGTGCCAGTCAATCCATAAAATTGGACATAATGCAAGATAGGAATGCTATAGAGTATAAGCTATTCAGAGGAGGGAATATTACACATAGCGGCGAAGTACTCGTCACAATCCATCGCGGGGCCGGCTTGTCGCGCTTCATTCCTTCGGCACATCGGTCAAGTAGTCGAACCCGGCTTGGACAAGGCTCATGATCACTTTGACCTCTTGCTCGTCTCTCGGTGCATAAGCCAGCACACGCCCGCGAGCATGACCCCATGGTCCCACACATCCGGCAAGGGAAAACCTCACCGCCCATCCTCGTTCAATCGCCAGTGCTGCATCCAAAGGTGCCAACAACAGGTGCAGAGAGCTTTCGCCGCCATGGACGTGTGCGAACTCGTATGCACTTGCGCGGTCTGTGATGGGGATGACGAATTCGGGGTGTAACCGCCCGTTGTTTGAAGGAGGCGTGGAGGGGAGGAAGAGGGCAATAGCGTTCGGCTCGATGACGCTTTCCCCGATCCGGAGGGAATGAGAAATGCCAAATTCTTTGAACATGGTCTTGAGCTCCTGCATGCCACAGATTAGATATGTCGTGTTATTGTACGGAGGGCCGAGCAGGTCCAGGAGAAACCGCACACCTGTTCGAGCTCATGGTCCAGCATTTGGGGTATTTGCCTCTGCGGTACTCCCTGGTGAAGTAGCATCGGACGCGGCGCTCTCCGAACCGGTAGCGCTGCTTCGTCGAGGTATGTCCGTCCGTAGATCGGTTCCCTATCCCGACTGCTCTCTACCCACTTGCGGATAGGGACGGAGGACGTGCCGTCCATGCCCCAAATCCAGCGCCAGGTTCGGATCAGACTTGCGAAGAGGTACACAATCGGCCTGGTCGAACTAGTGCCACGCATATCCACTGGCACTGATGGCAAGACCAGGGAATGGGTGATCAGCTGCAGCAAGTCGGGAGGGAGACGGGGCGTACATAGGCGATAGTAGTTGTACAGATCACGTCCTACAAAGAAGACGCTGTATATCCCAAGACTAGCGAGGAGGGCATACCCCACCGGAACGGGGCGGTTCCCCAGTTTGCGAAACTCCTCCACTCCGGGGGTGCGCAAGAAGGAAGCCAGAGTAGATGTCATTATGGTAGTAGTCGAAGAATGCATGTAGATGATCAAGTTCTGAGATCAGGCGGTCGTTGGAGTAGAAAACCGACGCAGGAGGGGCTATTTAACAGTTTCCAGAGGATCGTCATTTCCATCTAGTAATCAAACCGCGCAGCCGCGGCAGAGCAAGAGTGCCCAAGTATACGTAGTCCTCCGCAGGAATTGGAGATGATAGACAGTTGGTTGTCGTCGTGGATTTCAAGCCCATCTGAAATCCTTGATGGGATATTGAGGCGTCGGCGATGAGGCCCGTCGCTTCGTCGTTAACAGTCGGCAGTGCCACAACAGACGACGTCGACCTGAACAACAAGACCATTACGGTTACAGTGGATTAATAGAGAAAGTTCCACGTTCCCTCATAAAGTACCCGCAGTTCATGGGTTTTGAACCCTGCGGCAGGTCATCGTGGGATTGCTGACCACCACGTGATCCTTTCGGAGGCTTTCCAGCACTGCCCCTCAAAGACCGGCCCTGAGCAATCACAGCCCTTTCCACATAAGGAAGGGGTGGTTGTGTCTGAAGAAGCACAAGCTCACTATTCTTTGTTTTTGTATGAGAATGTATTTCTTCTGAAATCTTGTGGTATCTACTAATTTCTACACCAGCCACAATGTTTCTCTATGAAAAGCGGCATATGAATCTTTTTTTGGTGGTGGGGAACATCGGTCAGTCATCACAAGAAGTGTCATCCAGTTCTTATTGGATTCATACTCTGCAATCAAAGCTGCCGTAGAAAGCACCTACAGCAGTCTTCGAAGAGAAAACATTGCGAACTTGACTTACTATCGTTGTGTGAATGTGAACCATGTGGTATGCACGTGATCAAGTAGGGGGATTGAGTATGAGCGCTCAATTGTCGTCTCATCAGCTACCACCACCATTGTATCATTTACTGCTTTGCATAATACTCTGGATTGCGCTTTCAATTATCTATACTCACGAGAAACTCTTGATCAATGATATATTTATCAAAGCAACGAGTAAAGTGATACAAATGCAAGGATATACCCAGGCCATCTCCTCCCCCGCAAGGCCGCCCCGTGCACTCTTCATCGCCGACATCCTCCATCTTATATTCGACCACACCACCACGCGTTCACTCGCCGCTTGCACTCGTATATGTAAAGCATGGTTTATCCCCGCTATCAGTGTGTTGTGGAGACGCGCTACTAGGGCGAGAGGGATATGCGAAGCGATCGATCTAGCTAATGAGGTGCGCTTATCCCTCTCAGTCCCACTACCTCCCACTGACAGGACAGCCTATAGCCCTCATGGGACAGAGCCAAACGAGCACGAGCGATCTTCTATCTTTCTCACGTTGTGACACTCGAGTTTGCCCTCACAGACGAACCCGACTACTTCCACGAACCCTACGCCATCACCACCCCCTCTCTCCAAATGCTCGCTTTCCTCCCCTTCCCCGCCCTCAACTCGCTGATATTCAGCCTTCCCCACCCTGGAAAGCTTGCAATAGCCCTTGCACTCGCACGTCCCGAGACGCATACCGTCCGACTCCTCCTATTGGATACACCGCCCGATAGCACGACTATACCACTCCTCGCTCTCCTTCCTGCATTACGCGAACTCGGGCTCTTCGTTCAACGACAGGAAACGCACTGGCCAGGCCCCCGGATGCTTGACGCCCTCCCCCAACTCCGCTCCGTGCGGAAATTTCACTTAAAAGGTACCACCCTGGCGTTGGATCATATCCGCTCCTTGGGGCGTATGGAGCGGCTCGAGGAGTTGCTCCTGACTCTCTCTCAGGACGGTCCTCCCTCGCCCCTACCGGCATCCGCTCTTCTCCCCGGTATATTAGCTCCTCGACCACAGGAAAATGCCTTCCCCTCTCTCAAAAGCATAGAAGCGCACAACAGTACCCCGCTCTTCCCCATTCTCCAGCTCCTCGCCTCGCTCTCCTCCACCACCCCTCTCGAGCAGCTTATCCTCCGCATGATCTGGACCGACCCGGCCTTGCATCATGCGCTCCTCAAGCTACTAGAAGGGAGACGAGGACTGCGAGAACTTCCCTGGGGACTGCTGAGTGCGCCAGAACCGGCGATCCCGCTGTACGGAGAGCTGGTACAAGAAGCGTACACCTTCCACCCCCTCGCACGCCTACCAGAGTTAAGGATCTTAGACCTAACCCTTACTTCCCACACGCCGCGCTTCCTCCCCTGCCTCACCCGTTCCCTACTGCAAGAGCTGGCATCCCTGTCCCACCTCCAAGAGCTGAGATTGGTCACTTTCGACTACTCGTTCCACTACCTGTCGCTCGAACATAATCCAGGGATCGCCCTCGGAGATCTGGGGCTGCTGGCACAAGGATGTAGGGAACTTCGTGTCCTTCAAGTGGAGTTCTACGCCCCCGAAGCGATCGACACTCGTCTACCACACGACAACCGTATCACTATTGGCGCAAGCACTGACGCCAACAGTACCAACGCCTGGCTCCCCCCACCGCACCCTCTCCCCTCTCTCCGCCGTCTTCTTCTCGCCTGGTCCCGCCTCCCTCCGCCTTCCCCCAGGCTAACAGCAGCAGCGAAGTGGACTGCAGTTTCCTTCCCTAACGCTCGCCTTGGATGGGGAAGATGGGCGCATGAGGGTATGGATGTAGAAGATGGGGTTTGGGAGGGGCCTTTCGGAGAATTGCTGGGGGAGGGAGGAGGACCAGAGGCGCGCATGGATGAGGCGGTTGCGCCAGGGGCCGGAGCAGCTCAGGATGCGGGCCACGCTGCGCCGGTCCAACCTATGCCAGCCGATGGGGTGCAGGGAGGGCAAACAGAGCACAGGGAGGGACAGGACGTAGGCTATGCAGGTATCCACCTGGCCCGGAGGCGGGCGAGGGCCTTTGCGTTGGAGGTCGAGATGTGGCAGAGGGTGTATAGGGAGGGAAGGTGGGAAGGGGAGGAGCAGGGTGTTGGACTGTGTGGATGATGCGAGGGGTGTGAGTCGTTAGGTGATTGGAAGAGGTGGAGACAGAGGTTGAAGGGGCAGCAGGCTACTGATGTCGCATTTATGAATCGAGGCATTCGAACACGCGATTGTTACCAACTGCAATCATTTGGAATGCGAATGCGACGAGCCTGTTGAGGTCGAGGGTCTGGGAGGACTTGCCACCATTACCAGCACCGAATAGCCCATGGACCTTTCCTCGCGATTACGTCCCTCAGCATCTGCAAATGCCGGTATTTGGAAGAGGCACAAACGGCACCCCGGATGGAAGAATAGGAAGGGAATGGATGGAAGGGTCAGACTGTCTAGTCGAAATTGTTGGGAGTGATAAACGGAATACCATGTCTTTATGAGCGTGGAAGATGGAAACCCAAAGCCACCCTATGCAAGTGAAGAAAGCGCTCATGAGAAGCACGTGACTCGCTGTCTATGACGTCTGACGATATCCATCTTCTCTTTACCTTATTTGGAGAGCACTATGTTTAGCAAGCGCAAGCTGGCAACTCCATGTTCATCGGGGCAAGCCTCTCCAGTCCCATTCCCCACATCCTCTTACTCCAACGACGACTCACGCCAATCTCCCTGTCCACGTCCAGATCACCGTGGAGATCTACTAATACCGTCAATCCCCGCACTTACCGGATATGGCAAGCCGTTTGATTCCCCGTTGGGTGGGAGCTCCAACCCGGGTGAGTGGATCGACCATGCAAAGCCTGATAGAGAAAAGCAAGAGGATATGGAATACCCCGGTCTCACTGGGCACCGTCCTGCTCACCGGGCTTGGCGTGTACACAACCACATTCCTTGCAATAGACTTGTACGACTACTATTACATGCGTGGGTCCCTTCTACTGCCCTGTATCCGGAAGTCACTGACAAAACACCCAGTACCACAGGAAATGCGAGGGACGTACTCCTCCTCCGTCCACCTGTACATCTGGTCAGGCATCATCAGGCTGTACCGCTTCGTTTGGAGGATGGATGGCACCTCTGCTGCCGGTATAAAACGATTTGTCCTGCGGTCAAAGGGAGTGTATACGCGAAAATGTCTGTCCGGTTTGGGAGAGAGGAGGGCGCCCAGGCCTGAGCTGGTGCGTCAGGGGATCCCCCATAGGCAGGTTCCGCAAGTTGTTGATCCGTCGCTTGAAAAAGTGCGCCTTCTTTCCCAGGACCTAGGCGCTGCTGACCTCGGGCAGAAACTCCGCTCTTTCTTGCTCGGATTCGCTGCGCAGCACGAGCTTCGAGCAGGTCTGTCGCGAGTCGAGCCGAAGGCTTTGGCGCTCTTCCTCCCCTCCACAACCCCATCCGCACCAGCAACACATCCCGACCTCGCCCCTTTCTCCCCGGAGGCGTTCTCGACACCCTACGAGTTCGTACATCTCCATGGAGGCGAAGGTTCCCTCCATCTAATACTGGCGCCTTTGGATGCAGCGCTCGCTGTGGAAAGAGGCTGGGCGGTCCGGTTCCCCCTTGCTGGTGCAGGCAGCTGGGTGGGACATGCCGAGGGAAGGGTTCTGGTGTATGCGCCAAGGGACGAGGGGGAGGTGACGGTTGTCAAGCAGTTGGTGAATGCAGGGTATCAGTACCTGACAGGAGATGGCGAATGAAGAATAGGACAGCCATGTTCACTTGAAGTTTCATGTATGAAATCCCGCACGTGACTGTCGCGGTCGATTACGACCATCTCATACAATACCTTGATATTGTACCTAAAATGGAAGCAATTTAAGATTCCTGAAATCTATGATGATGACGTGCAGGAAGGGTCCCTTGTGCTTCTGCCCGAGCCTGAGAACCTGCAGGAAAGGGTCTGTATGGTTTTTACGGGGCCGAAAGTGTTTCTCGTGAGGGGTCCCCCCCCTTAGGGAGGTCCAGGAGAGGGTCAGAGTTCTAACTTCGGCTCGGCAGGAGCAAGGCTTACTGATACTATTGAATGATATCACAAGGCTCTGTGCCACTGCCTCCGATTGAACGAATATAATATTAATGCAAATGGCACTTCATACCTCCCTATTGGATGCCCGATCGACGAGGCTTTCAGCCAGGGGTATAAAGCTCGTCTTGTCGCAACGAACGGCGCTTTACTGCTTTCCCTTCCTGTGCGCTGGACGGTCAGTGCTTTCCTGTTCGCAAGACATTCGGTAGATGACATTGCCTCCCAGTCACTCCTCATATCTTTCCTATCAACCTTCTATTGGGTGCTGGCCAGTACGTTTGCCTTTCCATAACCGCTATGCACCTTTCATCTTCCTCGCACAGTCTCAATATACCACAACCCCGCTTTCCACGCCACTCCGAAACTTTCAAGCACAACCCGATCACAATAATGCCCTCCATTATCCATATATACGTTCTTGCCATCGCCGCTCTAGTCGTCTTCGCAGCTCCAGTGCCGATATCAGTCGACCCAGCTGAGGGCGCGCTGCAAGCCCGCAACGTCAAGGGATTCTTCGAAAAGGTCGTAAGCAAGGGATTGGACTTCTTGGCCATGACGTCGGGCGGACAGCCCCCACTGTTGTCGACCTTATAAACTCTTATGTCTGCACCTAAGAGTCATTGATTACCGCAAAGTGTTTCAGAATGTATTTGACCTTGTTTCTAAGGTGCGCATCACGCGTCTGTACTTTGTCATGTCAAGAACGGATTAGAACATCAGTACTGTAGAGCCTTATCAAACAATTTTGACCTGGTTTACAGCTGCAGGCCTGTTTCCTTCCGATCAGCCTGATCCTTGAACGGTGAGGTGAAGTCATGACCGAGTCGTGCAGGTCCAAAGTTAACGAGTCACGTGCGTAGATATATTAGTGATGTGGACACGTGTTACACCGGACCAATCACTGCTCACCCTTCTCTCCTTCTCTCCTCTCTCACGGACGTGTCTTCTCACTCGCTCCTCTACCACCACTACCGTCCGCCCGCAATGATGCCTCATATATGTATCGTCATCGCCGACCTCCGACTCTCCCTTCTTTCCACCCAGGTCCCACTCCACCGCTTCAGACACCGTGAGCTCGCTTGGCCCTGTCCAATTTACTACTGTTGAATTGTGTAACACATGCGAGGCATCGCTTTGCTTGAGTAAGCTTCTGATGACTGATATTTGAATGATTTGTGAATCTGACTGCTGGGCTGAATTTCCTTATCGTGAGCACTGCAGACTCCACCAAAATGGCGTCTCCACTTGGATGAATGCGAATGATGGTTGGCGGTACAATGTCACACATTTGTGCACTGCCTACCTCCCAGTACCTGAAACCCGACGAGGTCTTCAGGCAGGGTATACAGCTCCTCTTGTCTCAACGAACGGCCGTGCCGTACTCACCTGGACGCTGGACGGTCAGTGCTTTTTTATGCGCACGACATTACGAAAATGGTATCCCCTCCCAGTCACTCCTCATTTCTTTCCTATCAACCTTCTATTGGGTGCTGGCCAGTACGTTTGCCTTTACATAACCGCTATGTACCTTTCATCTTCCTTGCATAGTCTCAATATACCAACACCCCGCTTTCCACGCGACTCCGAGTCTTTCAAGCACAACCCGATCACAATAATGCCCTCCATTATCCATATATACGTTCTTGCCATCGCCGCTCTGACCGTCTTCGCAGCTCTAGTACCGATATCAGTCGACCCAGCTGAGGGCGCGCTACAAGCCCGCGGGGAGTTCAAGCACGTAATGAAAAAGATCGGGACGGGTGTCCTGGAGGGCGCGACTGCCCTTATCTCGCCGTGGTCGGGGCCGACACTGATGTCGGGCTTAACCTAATAGTCATTGATTACCGCAAAGTGCCTCAGAATGCGTTTGACCTTGCTTCTAAGGTCCACGTCACGCGTCTGCACTTTGTCATGTCAAGAACGGATTACAACATCAGTACTGTAGAGCCTTATCAAACAATCTTGACTTGGTTTACTGGCAGGCCGCGTGCTCAACCAGCCGGTTTCGCTGTTCTTGCACTCGCGACTCAAGCTCCTAGTTTCTTGGAAATACCAGACCAAGCAAGAGACATGGGCATTTCAACACAAGCCCAAAAAATGAGTTGTCCACGCCTCAGCTCTGTTACTACTACCTAGTTCCTGTGAGTTAGTTAATGTTAATGTTAATGAGAAATATGGATATAGGTATGCCATGTGTGCAGTGTGCAGTGCCAGCGTGCAAGTGTCAGTGGGTGGTGTAATGCTACAAGATGTGCGTGTGAATGCGACGTGACGTATGACGAGCAGAGTCCTTGTTCTCCTTGCTCGCCCCCCCCCCCTTCCCCCTCCCCTCCTTTCCTCTCTGCACTCCAATTCTCATCAACTCAGACAATCAACCTCCCCCTCCCACAATTCGTCCCATCCACCAACCAAACCAGTTCATCCACCACCCCTTGCTCACGTAGCTCCCTCCCAACCCCCTTCCAGCCCCTCCCTCCACCGCCTATTAGCACCCTCAACTCCCTCCCTCCTCCGTTCCCTCTCCCTCTCCCCACCTGCCCTCTCCAGCCCTCCAACACCCGCCAACCCCACAGGCCCGAATACTCTCAGCCCATCCCTCTCCTCCAACACCCTCATCTCGCTTTGTGTTAGCCTGCCGTACCCGAGCCGCAGTCTTCGTAGCCGGGGGTAGAGCCACGGTGTAAGGAGCGAGCAGAGAGGTTGGAGGGACTCGTACGCTCCTGCAGGGGGCGAACCGGCTACTAGGGATTGGAGTGCTGGGGCTTGGAGGTGGGAGAGGAAGTACAGCGCGGGCGTAATCGGTGTGTGGGAGATATCCAGTTTGCTCAGGAGGGGCAGGGGCACCACTTCAGTTGGTGCAAGGTCGCAGCTTGCTGTGCGCCTGATAGCTCCTACCAGCGCTAGGAGGCGGAGCTGCGTCATCCCCCGCAGGAGGTCGAGCCACTCTGTCGCTGTTGGCTGGAAGTCTACCGGGATGGAGAGGACGTGCAGTTCCCGTAGCGCTATGAGTGTGGAGCGCTGCACGCCGCCCGGGAGAGGAAAGCCGTCGATCTGGAAGTACCGCAGTCTGGGGAGATAGAGCGCTTGGAGTGGTTGTTGAGGATTCGGGGAACGCAGGCGGTTGTGATCCGCTCGGTGGAGGACGAGTTTCTCCAGCGATTGTGCGCGGGGTAGTGTTCGGAGGAGGAAGTCTTCCAGGTCGAACGCGCTCGGAAGTGAGAGCTCCAGGCTTCGCCATCGTGTTGCACAGGGCTCGACAGTATCCAGTATGATCCCTGCTCGCCAGACCGCACCCGCTTCGTCCGCGACTGCGCCCTTTCTGTACACCCCTACGTCTAGCCGCAGGTCCAATGGTCCTGCTCGACCACGCTCGAGTATGCTGTGGATGTACGATGGGGGAAGGAGGTCATCGTACGATTTTGAGAGGACGATGGTTGTCCACAGTTGGGGTGTGGAGAGTGCTAGCGTGCGCCAGAGGTGGCAGACATGGGAGAAGAGGATGGGGAATGAGAAATGTTCGAGGGTGCCTAGGGCGCAGACGTGTAGCAAGAGCTCGGGGGGAAGCTTGGAGATTGCGCAGATGCGTCGGCGGAGGAATTTGAGTGGTAGAGAAGGGAGTGTTGGGCGTGATGGGAGTACAGGTGGGCGAGGGGATGAGAGGGTGTTGGTGATGTCGACTAGGGATGACCTGAGGACGGATCGTCGTAGTCGAGGCGATGAACAGATGTCGAGCATGGAGGTGATGGTAAGAAAGAGAGATGTATGCTGTGTGGATGTGGTGAAACGGAGGGGGAGAAGAGAGAGGAGGAGGAGTAGATGTATGCGCTCGTGTTTATATGTTTGAAAGTGCTGTTACAAGTCAGTGTGAATCCCCCGCAAAGCGCACCGTTCCCAAGAGAAGGGAAACACTGTCACGCTTACATAACACTTCTCCCCTGCTGGGAGGCAACCGCCGATCCTCTCCAGACGTGCAACGAAGTTCGTTTTCACAGCAAATACCTCGGGTCAAAAGGAGTGTCTCATGGGAATTGCGAATCATTTATTTCTGCTTCTATTAGTGGTAGTATTTATTGCACACGCCCCCTATCCTTCCCTTCTGTGCTGGTGATTATCCGTTGGCGATGACGCACCGCTAATACACCCTTCCGCGAGAGACGGACCGGTGCACCCCGGCACGACCTTTCCCGCCCATTTCCCACCATATTGTGCATTTCTATTGAAGTCACATCGCGTCAAACGGGACTCGTCAGCTGGCGGGTATGAAAGTGGGAGAGAGTCGCGCGACCTGCACCGGTGGGAAGGAGCGGATCTGATCTATCGGGTAACCGGGGAAGGGGAAGCGTCGGCAAGTCTTCCTTCTCATCGGCCGGCAAGGGTCTGAATTCGGGCAAACGCCGACGACCTCCCAGACTGAAGAACCTTACAAGGCCACCCCGGCTTCGGCCGCATGTCGGCCGATTTCCCGCGCGTAACGACGCCGGCCTCCCAACCGGTATTCCCCTGCATGCACCCACGGCTTCCCCCAGAATAGCACAAGGATCCAGGCGCATCCCAGAACCCCCCCGCAATCCTCCAGGTCCTATCGAAGCCCTGTTGACCTGGTCATTAAATAATTTGCATATATAGCATTATATTATTTTACTAATAGCCACCCTTGTCCATAATCAAATAATCAATAAATTGCTGTATCAACAAGGAATGCTGTGATTCATTGAAGGAACCATTGTGTTGTTCCCATGAGCAGCATTGGCAAGATGCAACATCTTCATCCCCCTCACCCTGGCCTCATCTGTTCCCAACTCAACACCTCACTGCCCCTTCTCACCATAGCCCCATGATCATCTCTGTATCCAGCTGCCAGACTTGCTTCTGTGTGCCTTCCGTGTTGGTCTGGACCATGTTGTCTGCAGGATGATCCACACAATCTTCCTTGTAAATTCTTCTCAGCTCCCTACAAGTATGGTCAGTTATGCTGCACCATTTCAACACATCTCTACTTGCTTGGAAATGGCTGATTTTGTTTTCAATTGATCCTCAGTGTTTTGCAGGCACTGATCAACCCAGTACCAAAAGCGCTTGTCAACCACCTCTGCTGGCATCCCTGGTCTGTCTGGGTCATCAAGTGTCTGCCTGGCATGTTCCTGATGAAAGTGTAGGATTTGTCACTCAGATCACTTCAGCCATCTTCTCCTATCTTTCTACTGGCACATGCACTTACCAATAATGCCAGACACATGTAATGCTCAGTACTAAAGACAAAGTCCATGTCAGGAAGGAACAGAGCCTGACATGCTGCAGGAAGACTCTTGTTGAGCGTCTCTTCTAGCTAGATAGGACATGAGCATCCTTTATTAGCACATATTTCAATCCACTGATCCCTTCCACTTACCTTCATTTTTGCCCATTTCTTTCTGTCCAAGAACATGCTCCCTAATTTGTTTTGTAGAGCTTTCACATGGGCATGCATGCTGAAGATGCATTTGGGCATGAGCAGGCGCTGGCAATGTTTCTCTACATGGTCCTAGCACTCCTGTAGTTAGTGTGCATCTAATGACAATTGCCATATACAGTACTCATCAGCAATGCCACCAAAGAACCATGGGCATAATTGGCCACTCCAGGATTGAACAGCCATGTGTATACTTTGTGTGAGAGTTCCTCCTGGTGGTACCATCAGTCTCTGGTAACAAGGGAATAAGGACACCACACAGCAGCTGCTTTACTCAGTTTCCAATGAGCAAACACCTCTTCTCACAGCTCTTCCAGCAACCCTTCCATTCTCATATTGTGGGCTACCATAATGATTTGCCGAACCTGTTCATTGCCCTGTTCATATGCCAGTGTCAGAATGAATGTCAAGGGTGGGGGGCAGCAACATCTTCTCTTCCCAACTCAGGCAATGGGAAGGCAAGGTGTGACTGCAGCCTTGTCTCTTCCCAACTCAAGCGATGGGAAGATATGCCACCATGGCAGCATCATCTCTTCCCAAATCACCACCAGGCTACACCCAATGTCCCTCAAGCATCCACCATCTAATACCCCTCCAAAAATGCTGCTTACTTCTTTTGCAAAGTCCAGAAGTTGAACTTCCACATTCAAAGACAGGTTCAGCTTTTTTGCCATCCTTTGAGTGACATCAGCATAGTTCTTGCTATTCATCAGGGCCCCTCTTCGATTCAGCTGGTGCAGTAGGCTTCCCAATTGTGCCCCCCCTTGGAGAAACCGCTCTCACCACACTGAGGCTTTTCTGCCATCAACTCTGGATGCCAGTGGATTGTCTGTTCTTACTTGTCAGCTGTGCAGTTCTCTGGATAGAAAAGACCTTTAACTGATTGTTCTCAGATTCCTTGGATGTTGTCATCTGCTTGTGGCATTTACAATTCCATCTTTGAGTACCAGAACTGACATCCCTCTCTATGTCTGTCCCATCCTCATCATTGCTTCTCCCACTGTTGCTTCTTCTCTCAGGGGATGGCCAATCCTGTTTGTCACTGTTTGTTCTGCTGGCCTGCATTGCCCCCTGCAATGGGGTCGTTGATCTACCTGACATTCCCAAGCGTGCCCCATTCCTGTTGCCCTGTGTGCCTTGTTCTGCCCTGCTACCTTGGCCCCCTCCTGCCTTGGCTCTATAGCTTAGACATAGGGTAGACATATTTGTCACACACCCATAAAGTCAGCAATTTCCACTATCTTTGGCAAGAAACAAACGTCACATGCATCAAATCTGCATAACCTTGTTCACTTCTTGACCCAATTTTTGGAGCAGACCCTGTGCGACTGCATATCAGCACTGTGTTATACTCGTCCTTCTGTAAATAATCAGCACAGTTTACAAGGATAAAATGATATAGGAAGGTGGGTTACATCTGAGAGGTCAAAACTTATTTTTTCCAGATGCAAAGTATTTGGACAGCACCACATTGTTGATGTCTGTTTAAGTGCCCTCTTTAACCCAGCCATGGAAGTCCATCCATGCACCTCAAGCTGACAATGCCGCAGCCCCATCTCTTCTCTGCTCACAGGTTGGGAAGGCAAGCTGCTCCTGCAACCTCATCTCTTCCCCACTCAACTCTTGGGATGGTGAGCTGCCAACCTTGCCTCTTCCCAACTCAAAGTCAATTTTGTTCAATTAGCAGTGTTAGTATGCTTGCACATACATCAACTCCAGTGTCCGCCTATTCCTTGTCTGAGCTGCCCCACTCTCCATCACCCTCCCCACCTCTGTCATCTTGGGTTTTAGATGACTTCCCTCTCTCAGCAACTTGGCTGCCCTTCTTGATACCTGGCATCTTTGCCAATATTCGTTTTCTAATTTGCACTGGGTCCACTTTGAATATTGCTGTTTGCACTTTGTATGGGATCAGGGACATGATAAGGGTGTGGTTATGAATGCTGTAGATGTTCAGTACCCAAGTGTTGTCCTTGTGGTGGACAACATGCAACTTCATTCTTCATGTGGATATTCCTTCCTGTATCACGTGCATGATCTCATGCTGGGCACATCCACCCCCCAGACTGCAGTCATGTTGAACATTGGTGCATGCCATTGCTGCCTGATCTCTGACTTAGCCATTCTGGTTCACAGGCAGGGCAAGTCACACTCACCGACTTGTTCATCAACTCAAGTGATTTTGCCTTAACCAATTCAGAGCAGCTCAGAAGTGGATGGGCTCCCAGAACAGTGTAGCAATCCACCAGCATCCATGTGTGTGCTTCCCCTCTCTCAGACTCGTCAGTTAGGATTTCCACCAATTGACTGATATGTCTCTGTATGCATGGTCAGCACAAGATCATGCCCTTGGCATACTTGCACTCACCTCTGAGTCCTTGCCTTCATAAATCACAAAGCTTTTCAGAGATACCTGATCTCCATTTTTTGCCACTATTGACTTACCTTTTCTCAGGAGATGCACATCACTGAACAATGTCCAATGGACTCTTCTTGATGATGTTGCTGCCCAGCACACTGACCCAGTATCTGTATTGTCACAAATGGTGCCTGAATGATTTAAGTTAGTGAAGTTTCATTGTGGGTTAATGAGGTTACCTTTGACATGCTGGTCCCCAGCAGATGTCAATCCCAAGGTGTGCATCCAGTGAGGTGCACTGTTGATTTCTTTGAGGACTTTGGGCAAGGCCTGTCTCCACTGATCACCCTCCCTGTCCTTGAACCATCTTCTGGTAATAATATGCCTCACCCACTCCAAATGGGTGAATTGCATGCCAATATGATGGCTTGGCAAATGGTGGTTGCTGAGCATTGAGCTGTCATGGAAAATTGAGTTTTACCTCTCAAATTGCTGAGTTGCAAACAGTGCTGCTGGCCCATACAGTCAAACATGCTCTGGCAAGTGCAGAAGCAGGTGCGGCTTTGCCTTGCTGCACATGTGCTTGGGATCTGCTCTTGCAAATGCATAGAGCAGTGCATGGATAGTTTCACCCAGCTCGGCCTTCATATGTTTGTCAATTGGTATAAATGTAGAGAATCAAAGACTAGGCATCATACCTTATGCTTCCTCTTGTCCTCAATCTTGTGATTGTATACTTTGGTGCACATAAGTCCTAACAATACCCATAGCTCTAAATTGTCTGTGGATACGAGGTCTCACAGGACAAAAGGCATGGTGTGAACCAGTGTGCAAAAGTGTTTGCCATTGAGGGCTCCTCAATATTGGCAAATATACTTGGGTTCAAATTCCAATGTCCCCCAGCCTTCTGTGTTCATCACCTGCAGCTGCTGGAGCATGATACTCATGGGAGTACCTTTGATTGGTCAATGTGGGATATGGTCATCTTTCCTCTTGGCATTTGGCGCTAAGCAGTCACATGTGTGGGCCCAAGCATACTTCACCATGCCTAGCTCAATCATATGAAGCAGCTCCACCAGCATCTGCAGGTGCGGGTTGACATCTATCTTTATCTATGTGCATGGGTAGGATAGAACATACTGACCGGCTTGTCCTAGCAAGCAGTTGTGTGCTTCTGGTCCTCTCATCATATCAAATAGTGTTTGCATCTTCTCAGCAAGACCACATTTAGCCAGTGCTGTGCAACCCTGTTTCCTTGCTGCCTCCTGTAATGCCATGAACACTGGTTTGGCAAGCTTGTCCATCACACCCATGTGTGATCAAAGGTTATTGAGCTTCGAGAGGTGACCCAGTGTTACTGATAACTCCTTCATGGTATGGATGTGCTGAAGCATGATCTGGGGGTCACACGGTTGCCCCACCTGGTGAAGAGTGAGGACAAGGTCCAAATAGAGTTGTTTGAGGCAGCCTACCTCAAACAACTGGGCAAATCCCTCCTCAGTGCACCTCTCTGCCTGTGTGGCATGCACCTGACACAGTCAACATAGGGCATTGGCCCCTGGTCTGCGATGTGAGCATAGCTCGGATTGCAGGGGATTGTCACCTGCAAATATAGCTGGCCACATGAGGAACATGACTTCTTCTCTGGAGGCAGGGTCAAACACCACCCCACCTTCAGCTGCGAGTTCACTGGGGCCAATGGTTAGTGAGTTTTGTCCTTGAGTTCTGGGAAGAGACAAGACTGCTGTCACACCCCTCCTTCCCAATCCTTGAGTTGGGAAGAGATGAGGCTAGTCACACCTCACCTTCCCAATGGCATGCCCACTCACTCAATCATTGCCATGAAACCACTGACTAACTCTACTGGAAGGGTGGTTTTGGTGGCACCAAGGAACATGATGTTGTGTTCCTCTTACAGCTGCTGCTGTGGTCAACAGAGATTCGAGGTGCACATGATATGGTGTTTGTTGAATTTCTTCAAGATGTTTGACATGTCATCTGCCCACAGCATCAGAGGTATCAACAGCACACATCTTCCTTGACTGAGCTGCCTCCACTGATTGGGCATGTTGGGGAGCTGACACCCAACTGAGATGTGGTTAGTATCTAGACTGATCCCTTGGTTGTTTATGCACCGGCAAACTTCAAAGAGCCATTCTCCAACTCTGGCTGAAGATCCAAAAATGTGCAATCAAACCATCACATGTACATGCATGCACACACGTGCATTTGTATGTGCAAGATTCCCTGAACAACTGTGTGAGCAATTGAGCAGGATGTGTTACAGGTGCCTACCTTATCTGCATTCACTACCCAACCTTCAGCAGCCATTGGTCCAGTGCTGCTACCAACCTGAACCCAGCAGAGGGGAATAAAGTAGCTGCCATCCTCACATTGTACTAGTTTGCCGACAAACCAGCTATGACCCCCATGGAGCAGCATGGGTGTCAACAGATAATCTGGGGCATCAAGTCCCCAGTAATCTGCTTCCCAGAACTCATGGACTGAGGGGGAATCAACAACCAGATAGAACTGCAGGCTGGTCAATTTGACAGGGTGAGAGAGTTCCTGCAGATCACAAGGTAAGATGGGCACTATAACATTATAGTTGGAGAAGTGCAATGGCTTACCCAGCTCAACATCGTGCATAGATTGAGAAGATAGAACACGCTCCCCAGCACTGACTCAAATAGACAAACTGGGTCACCTAACTCATTGAGCGACCCAACATCAAATGACATGCAGGCAGGGACATTTGGTATGCACGCAGCACCAAGTGCAGTTGCATACCAATAAATCATTTCTTCTTTGCACTGCGAGAAGCACATATGAGCGGCATGGGTGAGGACCTAGCTGAGTATCATCTGAAGGCAGTCAGACCTGGCATTATCTCCTGTGCCATGCTTACACCTCAGTCTGGGAAGGGAAAGAAATCTGTCTCATCCTCCAAGCCAAAAAGCCAGTTCATCCTCTCTGCAACTGACCATGAACCATGGGGTGTACAATCTTTGCCTGGTAAGGTGAGCTGCATTGGTTTGCACATTGACCCACTCACCATGGCTCATGTCAGGACGCCCTATGCCAGCTTGAGGGTGCAAACCCACATATTGGACTTGTAGCATAGTTTGGTCCTCCACATCCTTTTTGGTGGGTAAAAGCGCTCCGCCAGTTTCAAATACCATTCCATCAAAGTCATTGGAGTGCCCTGGGCTTCCCAACTGCTCTTCAGTGTGTTTGAAGTGGTCGTGTACTGGGGGCAGTGGAGGATCGAAGAGTGCTTCAATCCTACAAGGTGGACGCATCCTTCTCACCATTGATTGATGCATTTGAGACTGGGAATGTGTCACAAGCTTAGACACATATGCTTGAACACCACACCACAGGCAGTGGCCTCATTGGCTTGTACTTGAACCAAACTGAATGAGTATTGTTGATCTTGAGTTGGGAAGAGACAAGGCCACTGTTGGCATTCTTGAGTTGGGAAGAGACAAGGTGTCCATTGTCAGAGTGGACACTGTGAGACTGGCATGATGGGTCATTGAGGGATGCAGTGGCAATGCAGATATAAAAGAAGTTACTAACCATCTCAGGAGAGACACTATCAAGATAGTGCTTGGTCTTGGTGGGGTGATGGGACATCTTATGTATAACAGGAAAACCTGCTCTGGCAATGTTTGCTGTCTGACTACAAGCAGAGTCAGCCAGGTGTGACTTTGCAACATCCAAACTCATGCTCACCTCAGTATGGCTACAACATGAGATTAGGCGAGTCACTTAGGAGAGATAGGGAAGGGTAGGCACCTACAGCTCAATAGACTATGATGTCAGGAAGGCAGAGTGTTAAGTTGGTCTGAGAAGGATAACACAGGTGATGGTGGTTCAGTATAAGGAGGGAAATGAATCTGAACTCCTGACTCGCCACATCTGCAGGACAGTGTACCATGTGTGACCATCATGAAACCCACATGTTTATGTGTTACTATAGACCCTATTATACTTTGCATCAATGATATCAATGGTTGAGCAGCACTTGACTAATTGTTCAATGAAGTTATCCAAGACAAATGTATAACAAATCAATGCTGGAGCTGAAGAAGAAGAATGTCCAACTGATCTAGTCTGCTGAATTGAACTGGAAAGAAGACACATTGTCAGTCACATTGCCCCTTGAGAAAGGATACGGAGGGAGGTGCAATGACCTCATCTCTTCCCAATTCAAGAAAGGAAGAGGAGGGAGGTGCAGTGACCTCATCTCTTCCCAACTCAAGAGGGAAGAGTAAGAAGGAACTGTGATGTGGGTTCACCCCCAAATGAGAAGGGATGAGGAGGAGGATAGCAACCTCATCTCTTCCCGATTCAAGAGGGAAGAGAAGGGAGTGCAGCCATGTCATCTCTCCCCAACCTAAGAAGGGAAAAGGAGGAGGTACCACCACCTTGTCTCTTCCCAACTCAAGATGAGAAGAGGAGGGAGATGCAGCAACCTTGCCTCTTCCCAACTCAAGAAGGGAAGAGGAGTATGTTAAGGAGCCTTGTCCCATGCTAGGCCAAAGGGGGGACAACATAGTATAATGGAAGTGTTATATTTCATGTGAGTATTGTAATTAATGGAGAAATGAACCTGGCACTTGAGCAAACAAAAGACCACAAGCAAAACAAGGTCAATGGAGGGAAGACTCGTGTTCTGCATGTGGGCAGAGACTTCTGACTGTAGTGTCCAAATTGCCACTGCATTGCTTTGCTCCCATCCACCATGTCCTCAAACCAAACCACCAACTTGCTCACCAAACTCTGCTTTTCTACAACCATTCTAGTAATCATATTTAGGACCAGGAAGAAGTTGACTGCCATTTGTGGCCGGACTGGCCATAGATGGCAGGAGCATCTGAAGGGGATCATCAAAGGATGGCACCAATGGGCCCAGCAAGCACTAGATCTTGAAGCAGGCTCCTCTTCAAGGCCTGTGCTCGAAGATAGTGAATCCAACTCAGAGTATGAAGACGTGGAGGATGACAGAGAGGAAGAGGAAGAGGAAAGGGTGGGAATCAGACTTGGTGTCATGCACATGCACCAGGTGAGTACTCTGAACTGTGCTCTGGATGCTGGTAACTCATGTTGCACAGGTTGATCCTAGAGTTGCCAGCAATGCTGGAGCAACAATCATTGGGGGGACTGTCATGACACCTGTTGTCTCCAATGAAAGCTCCAGACCTGATGCATACCATGCTGGCACAAGTGTCACCAACAACTTGGTTGCTGGTCTCCAGGCCACCATCACCCTTGCAACAGAGAGGACCATTGTGAATGAGACGTCCATCAACGGGGAAATGGCAGCTGTATGCGCATCTCAGACTGCTCATCTGACAGATGAGACTGAGATGAATGAAGAAGAGCATGCCAATGCTGGAGGTGGGGGTATGTCGACTGGTGTTAGGGCTGGACATGGAGGAATGCGCAGGTGCAAAGCTTGTATGGATTGCAATAAGATCTACCAGAGGATGCATCAGAAGCATAGCTACAAGTGTGGGCATAGCCTGACGAAAATATGCCTTGAAATGTGCTCAGCATTCTTGAGCATTGGTGACACTCTGGGGATCTGGTTCATGCAGGATACCAGCATATTCCTTTGGTTCTTCACTGGAGCATTTGATCAGACAAAGAAAATGTTGAAGAAGAGGGTGTTTTTCCATGTGTGCAGAGGGTTGGTAGCAATTGTGCTCTTCTCTCTCATTTGCTGGGCAATGTACTCTGGTAAGCTCATTCTCACACACATCACATGCATATACTGACCATTGTAGGGGGGAAATACTTCTTTGAGCATTTCAATATCCAGATAGGGGGTGGACAGCTTTCTATCAGCTGGGTGGGAAACCCTGGGGTGAACTCCACAACAACAACAGGAAATGTTACACCTGCTGTCAATGGAACTATGACTGCATAGTGGCGAGGGATACATGTAACCCATTCCTGTCTTTACACTGCTTAAGATGACCTACTGCTGTTGGTGAAACTCTTTATTTTTCACACCTGTCCTTACATTGTCTCATACCACTCATTAGCTGTGGAGTTACATAGAGAAACCCTATGGTCACATTCCCTATCTATGCTACACAATAGAGTGATGTAATGTAAGGAGAAAGAGACGTCTCTTCCCTCTTGAGTTGGGAAGAGATGGGGGCAAAGGGAGGGAGATGTCTCTTCCCCCTTGAGTTGGGAAGTGTCAGGGCACCAGCTCATTGCTTGGTCAAGAGACATGACTAAGCCTTTATGACA